TCCAATATTCCTTTTGAATGGAACTCTTTTTCCAGCCTTTAGATAATTTAGTACGCTATAGACTGCATGAAGGTGAACTTCTCTCGAGTACGCATAATTTGGCTAATCACGCTTATGATTATATAACATCTAGCCTTATATGAGCAAGATATATAAGTTTTCCTACCAAGCTTTAGTACATTTTTTTTGTGTATGATTGGATCTTCATTTTGCTTCTCTCAGTTTATGATTTGCTCAATTAATGTGGAGACATGTTTGCTCCCTTATGAGATAAATCACATACTTCTGCTATGGAATAAACATCCAAACTACTTTAATTCCTAGAAATTATTTTAATCTTCCAAGTTCTTTTACCTCAAGTTCTCTGATTAGGCATCATCTTGATGCTTCGTTCTTTTTCTCATGATATTTCATTTAAATTTCTTGAGGAGGTTTTATCCCAAAAAAAAAAAAAACATTTCATGAGGAGGATGTCTTATTCTCCACAGTTGTAAACTTTTCTCTCTATTCCTAATCATATTTCTTTTTCTATATAAAAAAAATTCCTAATAGAAGATTGAAGGATTATTTGACAGAGGGCATTTTATTCTCTTCTCTAATTTTCTGGTTTTCTTTTTTGTTCTTCTTAGATGAGAATTTCTTATTTGCTTTCATTTTGTAATCCCGTCATCCTTTTATAATACTTCTTTTATGCAATAAAAAGAAAAAGAAAAAACTATATACAAAATTGACTTTATGTGAAATACCCTATATATTTTCATAACAATCTCCAAGACATTTATGCGTGGGAACTTCGAAGATTCTTATTGTTTTATTCTTTAATTAAGTAGTTGAATTAATTTTACTTTTTAATTTGGCTTTTGCAGATTCATTCGCAAGATAGAGATTCTTTTTTTCTAATTTCGGATCCAAATTTGACTAGATCGCCCCCTCGTCATGTGCCACCTCCACCTATTGCAAAGCAAACCGCCAATCATGCATTACATTCATCACACTGTCCAGACTCTTTGAACAGCAAGGATACTTTGAAA